GGTGGTGCGATGAGAGAGTGAGTCGATCGATACGATGAGAGAGTGAGACGAAGACGATCGGTGCAGTGTAGAAGATGAACAACGAGAGTGAGAGAGACAACGATAAGATGAGAGAGTGAGGAAGAGAGAATCGTGTTTTTGAGTTTGAGAGGTAGATAGATCATTAGGGTTTTTTTGTTTTGTTTGTTATAGATGAGGTGCGCGAGGTGAGATGAGATGAACGAACGGTCAGATTTGAAAGAGGGGAAAAAAAAAATAATAATGTATTAATGCGGGCAGGTTGGGCGGGTGTGGTTCAAACCCGCAACCCGCCCGCAACCTGAAATTTAGATAAAATCCAAACCGCACCCTACCCTAATGTGTTTGCGAAACCACCCACACGCGTGCGGTTCTGATCTGGTAGGGCGGTTTGGGCGGGTTGAATAACCCTATGCCCAGCCCTACTTTATTCCAATTGCCATCCATTCATTAGTTCATTGAGTCCAATAATGAGCTTTAAGCCCACTAATGGAAATAAGCATCAAACAAAGAGTTGTTTTGGGTATGAGAGAGACAACATGCCATTGGTAATGAACCTGCAAAGGGATTAAACCATTAAGAACAATACCTCAATGTCAAGCTTAAACAAGCAGTTAGTTTGAAACAACTTTCAAAACAAAGAAAAAAGCCAAAAAAGGAGGGAGATTGCAGAGGTGATTAGAGATGAATACAAGTATGAAAAGTAAGAAATAAACACTATCAACTCAAATAGGTTAGTGGCAAAGACCTAAACCACCAAACCTATGAGGACTGTTACACTACAAGCCTACAATGCAAAGCATGAATGAAGCTAGCACAAAAAATCAATCCTAAAATGGTCCTAAAAAGTTTTGGAATTAAGACAAAAACAATTAAAATAACTAGTTAAAATATTGAGGAATTAAAACTATCACACAAGCACAAGAAGGGGAGCCAACTCCTCCACTTTTGGGACTTCAAAATATGATTTTTTCCTTTGAAAAACATCTGAAAATTAGTGGTAAAAAGCTCAAAAAAAGATGATGAAAATGTGGGAAACACAACGGCAAAGGCCATAGAAGTAAGGTTTAAAGAAGGGTTGTCAACCCCTTTACCTTTAATAGCCTCAAACCACAAGTTTCAGCCCAAAAACACAGGTAATAGCCAGCTCAAAAATAGTGGAAAAAGATGGGAAGAAGATAATGTAAAGATGGTACAAAAAGCTCTAGAAAGTATACCTCTTGAAGAGGAATGAACCTTTGAGTTACAAACCACCAATTTCACACTCTCAAGTGCCTCAAGAACTAAAATTCAAGCCTAAATCACCTCAGCAAGGAACTCTTTAGGTTTGGTTTAGAATGTTTGAGCAAAGGCTATGTAAGTTGTAAGAGAGAGAGAGAATTGTAGAGAGAGAATTTTTCTCTTCCAAAAATATTTTCTCATTCCTCAATTTTTCCAACCTTGAAACCAAGATGTGAGGTCCTCTATATATAGAAAACCAAGTGCCTATCTCGAAAATATCTGTATACACACGGCTGGAATGGTGCATGCACATGGGGGGACAACTGGCAAAAAATATTT